GGGGGGCGTGAGCAATTGCAGCAGGAACGGCATTATGATGTCACATGGTTCAGAGGGCATGGTCGGGAGGTGCTACAGTCACCATTAATGCAGTTCATTAAAGGGGATTGGAAAACACCTCTAACATGATGCGGGAGTTGGGAGAAGAAAAAGTAACAGTTTTAAGAGTTCAGAGATATTAATTTCAACATTAAAATCCGCAGTTACAAACACGTTTCTGGGGTGTAAAGTTCCCCCTTCATCAGGGCTATAAAACATGTAAATGAATGATAAGAGGGGTGTTAGTTTATACATAGTAATTGTGTAACCATAAAGGTATGCGTGAGCAAGAAAAGGAAAATATGCCATTGTATGAATGTATATATGTATGTATGTATGTATGTATGTATGTATGTATGTATTAGGGATGCGCCGATACCAGTGCCGATACTTGTCATTTTCACAAGAACTACCAGGGTTGCAGCCGGGACCGGGCTCTGGCGCTCCTCCACTGTCCTGGAATCATTAGTCTGTATTGTTTTAGAAAAACTGTCACATGACAATAAACAAAAATGTATCAGTACTAGGGTTGCAAGCTGGTACTCTAAAAGTATCTGTGCATCCCTAATCAGTACTCGTACTCGCAAAACTGGTATCGGTGAATCCCGAATATATATTTATAAAAACAAAAATCGTACAGAGATGTACAAATCCCGGGAGCTCCGTGTGCTCCTTACACATGACGGCCGCCTCCTAACTTTTGAATTTCTCCCTAGTCAAGTCTTGGAGCTGGAAAAGTATCGGTACTTGGTATCGGTGCAGCCCTAGTATGTATGCATGCTGCCAATTCATTTGAAATATTCAAGTGTATTTGCGTCTACTTGAGTATTGTTGGGCAGCTCAGTTTGTTTGGTGGAATGTATTATGTGTCAGCTGTATAGTCATAATGTTTCTAGTAGGGATGCACCGATACCGATACTAGTATCGGTATTGGTGCCGATACCGAGTATTTGGGTGAGTACTCGTATTTGCCCAAATGCTCCGATGCCTAGCACGAGTACTTCCTGTATCAGGAAGCCGGGCAGCGCATCATTGCACGCTGCCCGGTTTCCTAAAAGGCCAGGAAATGGCTCCATGCTCTCTGGTCACTTGTGATGAGAGAGCATGGAGCCGACTTCCCGGCCAATCAGGAAGCCGGGTAGGGTGCAATGACGCGCTGCCCGGCTTCCCGATTGGTCAGGAAGCTAGCCAATCCGGAAGCTGGGCGCCGTGTAATGACGCAGCGCCCGGCATTCTGATTGGCCGGGAAGCCGGCGTCATGCTCCCTCGTCATCTCATGAATCATAATATTAAGAAAGTGACCTTAAAGCATTAGTTTGTATTGCTTTATAAAAAATGTGGCCTGTCCCTTTAAGAAAAAGTATCGGTAATTGGTATCTGTGAGTACTTGATCAAAAGTATCGGTACTCGTACTCGGGCTTAAAAAAGTGGTATCGGTGCATCCCTAGTTATTAGAAATTTTCAACAACCAACAAATGTAAAACTAAAAACATCGACACAAGGACACTGTCAGACTTTATATCTTATTATACTTGGCAATATTTTTATGTTTTAAATAACTAATAATAATTATAAAGATAATAAATAACAACATTATATTCCTCTTATCTCCATGTAAGCTCAGCGGCTTATTGCAGTACTGGGATTCAAATCCCAGCCAGAACACTATCTGCATGGAGTTTGCATGTTCTTCCTGTGCTTGCATGGGTTTCCTCCCACCCTTTAAAGACCCGCTGGTAGGTTATTTGACTCCTGTCTAAATGTGCCATGTATGTGTACGTATTAGGGATGCACAGATATCGATACTAGTATCGGTGCCGATGCAGAGTATTTGGAGAGTACTCGCCCAAACGCTCCTATGCCTAGCCCGATACTTCCGGTATCCGGAAACCGGGCTGCGTGTCATTACATGCTGCCCAGCTTCCTGATTGGCCAGGAAGCCGGCTCCATGCTCTCTCATTACTTGTGATGAGAGAGCATGGAGCCGGCTCTCCGGCCAATCAGGAAGCCGGGCAGGATGTAATGACGCGCTCCCTGGCTTCCTGATTGGTCGGAAGCTGGCCATCAGGAAGCCGGGCGCCGTGTAATGACGTGGCGCCGGGCTTTCTGATTGGATGCTCCCTCGTGAAGCCGGCTTCCAATCAGGAAGCCGGGCGCCACGTCATTACACAGCGCCCTTCTTCCTGATAGGCCAGAAAGCCGGTTCCATGCTTTCTCCTCACCTAGTCAGGAAGCCGGGTGGCGAGTCATTACATGCCGACTGGCATCCTGAATGGGACTTCTGGTACTCGGTATTCGGTATCTGCGAATAGCGGGGGGAAAAATATCGCTGCTTGCGCTCCATACCGAAATACCGGTATCGGTGCATCTCTTGTGCGTATGCATGTGAGATGAAGACTTAGATTGTAAGCTCCTGAGGGCAGGGACTGATGTGGATATACAGTATGTATATAGAGAGTGTCATTGCTGTATACCTGCCTGTATATTATGTATTCGTGGTTTTATAGTCCTGATAAAAGGAGGCAAATTACAGCCCCTGGAAGGCATTGCATTACCACCCCGGATATCAATGACTAAATGTAAATACTTCCGGTCCATTGGATTGGTGCTTTTGTTTTCTCCATCTCCAGGATCATTTCTTCACACACATATTGCACCAGGCGCACCATCACCATCTGTTTAGCTCCTCCAGGTGTTCTTATTACCTCCCACAAACCAAGATATATAATTTGCTTCCACTCAAAACTGGCCTTAAAGTGACATTAAACCCTCAGATTTTTTAACATAAACCAATACCGTAATGTGCGCCATACTGTAATCCATGGTTGTTTCCCTTCTCTTTGCTGCTTTTCATTTTAAATCCTCATGTCTTCTCATGCTGGGGGAGAACTTCCCTTTTCAGCTCAGGGCCTCTTCCTGTAGTGCTGGCTCAGGTTACAAGCCTATACACAGACACCGTGTATCTATTCCTCAGACAAGGCAGTCTGCTGCAAAACAGAAGTTCTGCAGAGCATGAGAACAGATACAGATTTAAAAGGAAGAGCAGCAAAGAGAAGGGAAACAACCATGGATTACAGTATGGCGCACATTACAGTATTGTTTTATGTTAAAAAATCTGAGGGTTTAATGTCACTTTAAGACCAAGCGGCTCTATGGCTGTGGCAGAGGCTCCATGTTCTCTGTACAGCGCGGAGGATATTCTCCAATCACTGCAAACTCATCTCTGGTCATTACATTACAGTTTAATTTGTTGTACCTGAACCACCAAACCCTCGGAGGGGATCACCAGGTCTTTGGGGATCCTGCAGGTGATCTCGTTGTTCAACACCTTGGGGTAACACTCTCGCCCACCGACCATCATGGACACAGTCAGACAGTTGTTCACGCGGACGAGCTGTTCATGCTATAGGAGGAACAAAATATAAAATTAGCAAACAGAATCAAAAACTACGATTCCAACTTTTCATATCACGGACTATCCGCCAGGAAGTGATAGAGAGCAAGGATGATTGACTGAAGAGACTCCAAATAGTGTGCGTGGCCCCCCAACACCTCTCATTGTGTGCCCACAGCAATCAGCACATTCTGTATAACGCAGCACCGGGCAACAACACAGAAAAAGCTGCACCACCTTTATTACACTTATGGCTTCTAAGAAACACTTTCAATGGCTGGGAGGTCATATCTCAAACCATCTCACCGGGACAGTAAACATCTGAGAAACCTTTATAACCCGATTGGCACCAGTGGGGGGGTCCTTCCGATCCAGAGTCATGACCCCACCAACTGGAGAGAGTGAATCATAACAATTTAGCAAGAACGAGAGAAACCATTTTAACGTCAACCTTCACTCAGCATCTCCCAGATCTGTCCTCAAGTCCCACCAGCAGACAGCCGCTCGTCGGAGAGGTCAATGCCTCAGCCAAGTGGTTTTGAGATCCCTGAGGACTGGATTGCAGAACGCCATGCTAGTCTATACTCATACATGACCCCAGATCTCCTACCTGCCGACCATTGGAGGTGGGAAAGCGGACACCTGGAGCACAGAGTATTTAGGCAAAGGACACTTCCTGCCACACACCGACTGAGCAAATCCCTTCACCTCGCTGGGGATTTTTTTTACCACTATTGTGACATTAGATTAGTAATTCAAAATAAGCAATGTAACCATGTGAAGGTTGGATCAGAAGTTCAGCGCATTATATTCATTCAGATTTCTACACCACAGCGAAGAGAAGGACGTGTGTGGAAGAGTGACGGCAATGCAGATTCCAAACCAGTGACACTCCCTCCAAGCCGTTCAGGAGGTTTGGTGGCTTTAGATTGACCAGAATACTGAATTTTGCTTCTACTAAATGTCCTATGGGCCCAGATACTCTCTCTGCCTGCCAAAAAAAAACCATTGCCCGGTCTCATCTTCTTACATGGGTACTTATCTCCGTGTCTCCTTTCCTCAGCTGGAAGCGATGCTCATCATTCTCAAACATGTAGATGCGATAGTCTTTGTAGTACGGAAACAGCTTTGATTGGTTGTAGGCGTACCCCTCCATCTGTAGACCCAGGATCCCGTACATCTCATTTTTGCTTTCCAGGGCTGGGGTGGCGCAGAGGATGCGGTTTGGAGAAAAGGGCCCGTCACAAACCTGTGGGCAGAGTATATCGGTTTATGGAGACCATGTACATAGAGAGTCTTCCTCAGAAATAGAATATAATATTATACATCTCATACTGGGGCCTAGCCGGCATCCTGTGCACGTTATAATAAGTGCTTAGTGATGAAGGACATTATCCAGAGTGCGGACAGACTTTTATACTTTGTAACAAATAGTGGATAATGTATATGTACGATATTCTCTTTATTGATAAACAAGCCGATTTCTAACTGAAGCTAGCACTAGACCGTAAAGTCCAAGGCTTGTAAAGCTTTATTATTCCAGGACAACTGTGAGAAGTGACTGCCCCCAGCTGACGCAGTTCACCTGCGCTGGGCTTAATTGTGTAGAGATGAGGATGGGCAGGAAATGGAAGTCATTTATACATCAGTTGTGCTGCAGTGCATGCAACATGCTGATAAGAGCAGAGTGACAGGGAGATGAGCTCATCAGTCTGCTGCTTCTCCTTTCACTGTCCAGTTACAGGCTGGGGGTTAAAGTGAAAGTAAAACTGCAGCAGAGAAAGATCAGATCCCCTCTCCTGCTAGACAGATCTGAGCTGTGTGACAGAGCTGTGTAAATATCAGGACTGGCAGGTAATACAAATGAGCATTTAGCGGTTTGCCTGGAGTTCAGCTTTAAGTTCAGTTTTATCCCTTTGATCCTCCATATTGGTAAGTCTCCGTGGTATTGATGGTAAATACTTCTAGTACGGTTTGAGAAGCGGAATATCGCGATTTCTAGATCGGGGTTGTGTCCCGAGACCATTGGAGGGGTGACACCAAAATGACTGACAGTCATTTTGGTGTCACCCCATCTAAAAAGTCGGGCACTCGGTCATTTACCGAGAGCCCGACAGTTTCGGGAGAGAGGAGGTGACCCGGTGGCATACCTCATCCCGCCAGGTGACTGTCCCCTCCTCTCTCTGCCAGCGTCCATCATCAAGATGGCCGCCGGCAGGTATCAATAAGATTGCCGCACATGCATGCGTGGTGATGTCACGCGCATGCGTGATGGTGCCACAACGGGGTGTCACCCGGTAACCGCTCTGGGTGACATCCGGCCTCGGGACGCCCCTGTTTAGGTATTGCGATTTGCGTGGTGCAGGCGTTTCACTTTAAGGAACAATCCCTTTCTGAGGTCTGGGCACAGACGGTAAAAACACAATCAACAGATTGGCGCCATGTACTGACCTTCTTCGCCCCTTTAAACAAGACGGCGACACTGGACACGGAATCCAGGTTGGCCCCCTGAATGGTGATCGGCGTCCCCCTGGAACGGAGATGGGGTGATGGTTAATGAGCGGCTCATGTATAAAACTGTCAGATTTTTCCTGGTCTGGGGAGAAAGCTTCCTTCATTTTTTTAGTTCTGAAGTTTCAGATCACTTGTGAATTCTGCCAGTTTCCATGGTAACCGGGTTATCTTTCCTGTGAAATCCCTTTATACAGAGATTTCTTCCCGCTGCCGGGATGTGAAACAAGTCTCATTTTTCTGCTACTGTAACAACATGAGGTGGAAAATATAACGAAGGATCACACCGAGGGGGACAATCCACCCTCTTCTGTAATGTTTCTGACACTTCCCGATTCCTCGTGTACATGGACGGAGTTGGGTAACATTGTATCACTCGGAGGATGTGGAAACACAAGATCACAGAGGGCAAGGAGAGTTCAGCTTTATACATAGACAACATGACACAGCACAGCAGATGCAACGTCATGTGGTCATGTGACAGAGTGACTCAGATCATGTGACCTACGCCGAGCACCCTCATCTCTCTCCTATGTCCAGACCGGACACTAGAAAGTGTTCATCTGAATACAGCCCTGGGAGGATACAAATATGGGAGCCGCCATTGCTGGCCCGACCTCGCACACCTTCTCCCATCTAAATGTGCACGATGTGAGGTCTGGCGGTTCTCAGACATCAAGTGACCTTTGAACCCTGACCCTTAAGCTAAAAGGTAGAACATTGGAAGCATGAGAGCGCCACAAAATGCTTACAACACAATTTTTAAAATTTGGGGCTCAAAACCGCACCTTCATCAGGGCTGGTGCGGTGGCAGCGAGTTCTGATCCACACTGCACAAGCAGTGACGTGCCGCCATTGATTTATATGGATGAGGGGATTCGGCTCGGCTGAGAGATCATTAACTGGCAGCATTTCCTTTCAAGTCGCAGGCGCCATCAGGTAAAGGAGACAGTTGCAGTTGCAATTCTAATCTGCTCATCTTCCAACTGCGAGAACACCTGCGAATGTGTCTCCGTTACCTGATGACGCATGCGACTTGAAAGGAAATGCTGCCAGTTAACAATATCTCAGCCAAGCCGAATCCCCTATATAGGTCAATGGCGCCACGTCACTGCTTGTCCAGTGTGAGTCGTCTGAACTCACTGGCAGCACACAAGCCCCGATGAAGGGGAAGTTTTCAGCCACCAAGACGAGTTGACTTATTTCATTTGATGACATGAAGCTTCTTTCTGGACTTTAGCTTTGTGGTGTTCTCAACCTTCTACAGACTGCTCCAGAGTCCCTCAGGGATACCACAGGTGATAGGCAGCTGCCTACAAAAGTTAGATTCTGACTCCTGATCCTCATCTACTCCGGTGTCCAGGGCTCCACCAACCAGTGGTGTACCTAGCCTTTTTGCTGGCGAAGGTAGCATTGGGGGGGGGTGTAGGAGGAATGGGGGTGGGATGCAATGGCTGGCATCCCACCCAGCTCGTTGCCAGGAGCTGGATGGGACACTGGGTAGAGCATGCCAGGTTGCCAAGAGCTGGATGGGGAGATGTGATGGCCGGAAAGGTGGTGGCATTGTGCAGCAGAGCGGCCATGCCATTATACAGCAAACATGCTGCTCTACCTGACACCCAATCCCCCCCCCCTGACCCAAAGAGATGTCACCTGAGCAGGGGCGTAACTAGAAATCACAGGGCCCCATAGCAACATTTTGTATGGGGCCCTGTGAATTCTAGTTATACCCCTTGCAGAGCCCACTTGAGATCCCACATAGCCCACCCGAGGGTGACCCTGCAGAGCCCACCATAGATTATCTATGGTGGGCTCTGCAGGGTCACCCTCGGGTGGGCTGGTCGCACTCTTTACCTGTCCGCCTCCTCTTCCCCTACGCTCGCTGATGGTCCCCGCCTCCTCCCCTGTCGCCGGCGTGTTCCTCTTCAGAGCCGCCAGTGAAAGCCACCAGCAGAGGATGCCATAGCGACCCAGGTGGTCCGCTCGCCATCTAGCCGGGCCCCCCCTGTGCCCCAGGCCCCATAGCGGCCACCTGGGTCGCTATGGCGATTGTTACGCCACTGCGCCTGAGGCAACAACCTCAGGCTACCTCATTAAAGGGACAGCCCTGCCACCCACACATAGCTAAGGTGTGAATTAAAGGCTGAGATATCATCCACCAAATCGGAGGGAGGGTTCAGAAGAAAAGGAAGGTCCCAGAGGGTGACATGGATACTGCGGGGATACTTAATGCTCCACGAGCTTCCTTCTCCATACACCGCTCCGGGGTCACTCTGCACACACAGAACATCCGGAGAATTGTGGGGACTCACCGTAGTAAGCTGCAGTTAGGCTGGATACTATAGACCGTTGGGTTAGGTTTGTACTTGAAAGGTTCCACGTGAGAGAGCTGAGCCTTGTCCAACCATAGAGTGATATCTACCGGTCCGACAGCGGTGGCCGGAGGGGACAGACAGCACAAGTCACCGGAGGGACAGGACCTGAAAGAGGAAAACCGTATTCTATAAATGACTTTACACCTTTGTAAGCTGACCATTCTTGCTCCATGACAGGTCCTCATTCACAACCATCCATGGATAGGGATCGCGCCATCTGCAGGGTGACCCCCAATAATACACCACTCACTCATTGTACACGTTGCACTCCACGTCCCCAATGTACACGCGCTGAGTCTCCCCCGCCATCAGGTCCTTCCCCTTCACCGTCACTGGGGTTCCGCCAGCTAGAGGTCCAAAAGATGGAGAGACGGCGGCCAGGACCGGCTCCTGCAAAAAACACGGCATATGAGAGATGTACTCGTGCCTTGCTCTGTGCAGTAGATGAGGGTGGACTGTTCCTTTCAGGGCTGGACTTAGATTAACTGAAGCCTGGTGGAGGATTTCACTTTGGTTCCCCTCTTCTCCATCCTTATTACAAGAGTCCAGAGAGTCGCAGCAGGAGAGATCAGCCCAGTTCTCTGGACTACAGAACCCCTCTTCATGTTATGGAGATGAGCAGAAAGGAAGGTGTTCTGTATGTAGCCCTGTCCTAGTGCGACAACGCTGCTCCTCTATAGATAGAGTACAGTAAGTGAGCGTTGTCACCCTAGGACAGGAAGTCTGTTACTGGGTGCTACATAACCACTAGATGTAAAAAAAAAGCCTCAATAAAGAAAACTAATGCAGCCGCCATATCTATGGACCGGTGAGCTGCAATATATGACCTTTTCTTTATAGGTTTGGATACAATGTAATAATCATACAATGCAATGCCAGATGTATTATTAACAGATCAGAGAGCGCGTGTCTCCATAGCAGGGGTGGGCAACCTCTGCACTCCAGCTGTGGTGGAACTACAAGTCCCATGAGCTATTGCAAGACTAACAGCCACAGAAGCATGACCCCCCAGAGGCAGTGGGATGATGGCATTTGTAGTTTCTCCCCGGCACTATAGCATTGCATTGCATTTCTTTTCCGGCATGCCTGTTGTGTAGGGCTGGTAATTATTCAATATTTTGTGTTCGATTAATAAAAAAAATTTTTGATCGATTAATTTCGATTATAACGCACATACAGATCCAACTACATTGGCCTAGGATCACACTAATCCAGCACGTTATTAATCTCACGTGCCCCACCCAATATGGCCGCCGCTTGAGTGGGGCACGTGAGATTAATAACGTGCTGGATTAGTGTGATCCTAGTTCATTTTATGACTTCATCGCTGTGCTGTATGTGTATAGGTCATTGCTGTGCTGTATGTGTATAGGTCATTGCTGTGCTGTATGTGTATAGGTCATTGCTGTGCTGTATGTGTATAGGTCATTGCTGTGCTGTATGTGTATAGGTCATTGCTGTGCTGTATGTGTATAGGTCATTGCTGTGCTGTATGTGTATAGGTCATTGCTGTGCTGTATGTGTATAGGTCATTGCTGTGCTGTATGTGTATAGGTCATTGCTGTGCTGTATGTGTATAGGCCAATGCCTTGGCTGGCGCTCGTGCAGAAAGTTTCTCGGGCAAAGTCACCGGCCCAAGTGGCTCCGTCGGCTAACGAAGGGGGGAGGAGTCCGGTGACGTCACGGACATCACCGGACTCATCCCCCCCTTCCCTTCGTTAGCCGTCACGGGCATCGACGTCACCGGACGCCTCCCCCCTTCCCTTCGTTAGCCGTCACGGGCATCGACGTCACCGGACGCCTCCCCCCTTCCCTTCGTTAGCCGTCACGGGCATCGACGTCACCGGACGCCTCCCCCCTTCCCTTCGTTAGCCGACGGAGCCACTTGGGGAAGGGGGGGGGGAGGAGTCAGGTGACGTTGATGTCCGTGACGTCACCGGATCGCCGACGGGACTCCCGGAAGCCGGCGGAGGGGCGAGTGTTTTCATTAGCGATCAAAATAAATTTTAAATCGATCAAAAAGTTTCACGATTAATCGAGAAATTAATCTTTAATTTACACAGCCCTACTTTCGTGTAGTTCGGCTGCATCTTCTGGTGCACAATTTCCTGTTACGTCCCTCTCCCCTCCCCCGGCACCTCCCTTTGCCCTGTATAATGCGGACAAGTCCGGGCCATCGCTCACCACGAAGGTGAATCCGCTGGCCGCGGCGCTTCCATCGATGTAATAATTGACGCTTGTTAGATTTTCTTTGATGGTGACGATGACATCGGCGGGCGATGCGGAATCTGGGAGGCCGTCTTTCTGCAACGTACATACCAGGCTGCAGAGAGAAGAAAACATGTTATATCCCGACACAGACAGTTCAGCCTCGGCCAGTGGCGTCACAAGGGGGGTGCGGCCCGCTCCCGGGTGCCACCATTGGAGCGGTGACACCAAAATGACTGACAGTTTGGTGTCACCCCCTCTGAAAAGTCGGGCACTTGGTCATGGACCGAGAGCCCGACAGTGTCAGGAGAGAGGAGGGGACCCGGCGGCATACTTCCTACCACTGGCTGAACGTCCCCTCCTCTCTCTGCCGGTGTCCATCACCAAGATGGGCGACGGCAGGCGTCAATAAGAAGACCTCGGGACGCCCCTGGCCTCGGCCCTCTATCAATACAAGAAGCAGAATCCCCAAATTAGGGGGAAAATATGTACTGCAACACTTAATTATAGAAGCATCTGCACTTAGTTTCCTCTCCCTCTGAAAAGTCCCACAAATACCTGTTGATCCGGCGAGTAGAGTCCCCTGATGCAGCTTCCTGTGATGGGGTGACAACAATGCTGCACTACTCCTGAATTGAGAGCAGAGTTGTCACCCATGAAAGTCAAGCTGTCAATCATGAAAGTGGTGGGCGGGGCTGGGTGTTTCCAGGTGCACTACTCCTGAATTGAGAGCAGAGTTGTCACCCAAAAGACAGATTGACTTTCATGGGTGACAACTCTGCTCTCAATTCAGGAGTAGTGCAGCATTGTAGGCTGTCCCTGCTTCCACTACAGTGGGAGGAAAAGATGTTGCAGGGGGGCGTGGCTATCAGCATTGTCACAAACCTGTAGCTCATCCATCAGCACCTGGAAACACCCCGCCCCGCCCACCACTTTCATGATTGACAGCTATGCCTCTGCTGCTGAAACCCTTGCACTGTGAGCTGCAGTGTCTGGGAAGGGGAGCGTGTGAGACCCAAATGAAGAAGCTCAGTCAGGGGGAGGTAAAGGAAGTTTATGGTCTACTTTATGAGGCTCTTATGTCACAGAGTAACTGATTTGGGATTTACTTGGACTGTCGTACCGGAGCCTTTATATGTACTTATAAATGAATTTAATCACATGTAGAGGGGTCCTGGTGACACGAGGGGAGGAGATCCACAACATATGGGGGGGGGGGGGGGGGGG